TGGTAAACATTTTTTTCAGGATAACTGCGGATTCATTTTGAGTGCTAGTCAAGATCAACCTTGGATGATATTATTGTTGTGCTAGCTTTCTTTTGATACTCTGTAAGACCTCGCCATTGTAAATTTGTCCTATCAACAGATGTATATATGTTTTGTCTTTCACATCTCAAGAATAACAGTATTGTAAATTCTTGGGGTGTGACAGTATATGAATAAATCGTCTTTTTCTTCGTCTTGGGTGCTCTCTTCTTCTTTTTTTCAGCGTCTTTTCTCCTTGTTCCTTCTCTGTCAACTTCCTTTTTTATTCATTTTAGAAAAGGCATGATCTACCTTGCTTGGACGGCCCAGATGCCTCCTTCTTGAGTGTGTGAGTAGTGTGAGGAACAAAGTTCCCTCGCTTGTGGGTGTGTGAGTGTGTGCCGAGATATGCAAATAAACAATGTGTTCCTAAGGTAGTCTGAAATTTATTGAAGAGTAGAGAGAGAGTGTTGTATACCTGGATGGTGTTTGACCCGGTATGGATGCGCCGTTTCCACTAGTGTCATGCGTGAGAGATAACCATGATTTGAGTTGGCGGCGCGCTTTGGGATGAGCGTGGCATTTTTAATTGCTACATGGTTGCTCTCCTTGGGATGAGCACGATCTTCCTCGTTCGTGCGGCACTTTCATTATGCATGTGTTTTAGTACTGTCGTACCCCTGAACCGTGCGACATTTCGCACGTGTGACACTTCGTGGGCCCTATTTTCACAGGGAGTTTGGCCTCGCATACTGCTTGGTGTTCTCCCATGATTGGGACACATGTCTTGCAGCCAGCTTCTGCACGATTCCTCTTCCCGTTCATTATTATAAGAGGGAGGGGGAGAGATATTTCTTATTCTCAGGAGGGGTTCTTTTCTGGAGACTGAGGAGCTCCAGCCTTCATTGTTCCGTGTTTACCTCCGTCACATAGGGTTTTCCACTGTTGCACTGAGGTTGAAAATGCCTACCTTGCGAAGAAGGCTTCTTATTAGCTGTCATGGTTTTGGAGAAGAGTGCTGGTGCGAAAAGAAGAGGCTCTTCAGTAACACTTCCTTTAGTTAAACGCTAGAGAGCAGATGTCGGCTCGTCTTCGACTCTGACTCATGGGGCATCTGCATCGAATGCTGAGATTGCAGGTGGAGTTGAGGATATCTTTGTGATGAGCCCAAGGGCTCTACTCCCGCTTCTTTAGAAACGAGATTGAGGGTGGGAGCTAACTGAGGGTTCCTCCCTTCGTCTGATGTTCCTGGCAAAAACCTGAACATCTGGATTAGGGTACTACTCTAGATGTTGCCCCTCTTTCTGCGATTGCTTCCCCAACTCTTCCCTCCCCGGAGTAGGGTTTCAAGGAGGCCACCGTACGTTACATGATTCAGTCAGGGCTTCAAGAGCTCAAGAATTATGCTCTCACTGACTTAAAAGAACAAGTTGAGGCTCTGGAGTCCTGTGCGGCCAGTTTGATGTTCATGCATCATGATGAAGATGTTATTATGAGATTTGGCGGATAGGGGCACCGAGTCTCTCTCACATGAAACTTCAGTGCGGACGTCATTCAATGAATATCAGGCTTCATTGCGGGAGAAAGCAGCCCAGCAACTAGCTAATACAAAGCGTTATGCGAAGAGGGAAGAACAACTTGTTGCTGATCATGTCTGGCTCATGGAAGAAGAGGCAAAGTGTTCTCGTGTGATTGTGGAGGTGGAGGATGAGATTGTGCTCCTTCAGGTAGATGTAGCCGACTTGAAGGCACGTCGGAATGATTATCAGAAGGGAATAGCTTTGAGGTCTCGGCCCTTGGAAGAGGCATGTTCCAAGGCGCAGGCGGCCCGTGACGCTTTTGTAGAGGCTGCGGTAAATGTTTCTCATTTAGAGGAGTAGAAACAAGTCGTTCAAGAGAGGGTATGAACATTGAAGGCAAGAATGCTCGAAGCACTCGATGGTTTTTAGGGTCTCTCACTTTGTGGGCTATTTTTGGGGTCCGTCATCCTTCTGTAGCCTCCAGTTTGTTTTTAATGGATATCTCCTTTTCCTTTTCATGCCTCTTTCTTCTTTTTTGCCACCTAGCCTACTTCCTGGGACTCTAATCTAGGGATAATAATTTTTTAGATACCTGTCGTTAATTAGGGGCATGGCCTACTCCTCTTCGTGGTTAACCAGCAAGTATGCCCCATTGAGGAAGTCTTTTCTTATTATGAAGGGGCCTCCCATTTCGACTCAAACTTTCCCTTGTTCCGCCCATGAGCATCGATGGGCCTTCATACTGCTAAGACCAGTTCTCCCTTTGCAAATTTCCTTATTTTGTTTGACTTGTCGAAAGCCCGCTACATGCGATTCTTGTGCTCCTGCAACCTTTTTTCATCAAGTGCATCTAATTCTTGGCAGTGAAAACCAACTCGTTCTTCTTCTATTATCATCCCATAATGGAGGGCTATCCTAAGGAAAAGTAGTTGAATTTTCAGGGGTAAAACAACTTCCCCTCTGTATACCAGGGATAAAGGGGTCGATTGAGTCTGACCTCGGGTTGTGGTGCAGTATGCCCACAGAACTTTCAGCAACCTTTTGTGCCAAACTCTTTTAGTGTCAGAGATGGATTTCCTCAAGGAGTTACAGAGAGTTTTATTAAAGGCCTCAGCCAAGCCATTGGCCCTTGGATGGTTCATGGTTGAATAAATCCACGTAAACCCTAATTGTTCAGCCAATTTATCAATTTGGCTACTTCGGAATTGGGGACCATTATAGGAAATGATTTGGTCGAGGACACTGAATCTATCTACGGCGTACGAAATTAGCCACCGCAAGACCGAGGACCTCTTGAGGGGGACAACTTTGGCCCATTTGGAGACGTAATCTGTTGCAGCAAGTATGAATATATGCCCCGAGGACGATGGTGGATCAATGGGACCCACATTGTCCAAGCCCCAATGGGCAAAGGGCCAAGATGCCATAGTCGAATGGAAAGGTTCTGGGGGCTGGTGAATAGACTTAAGCGAATTTGACACACAAGGCAACTTTTGGCAAACGCGATGGAGTTGGTGTTCATGGTAGGCCAGTAGTAACCTATCCAGACAATCCTGTTGCAGAGTTTGGGCCTTGATTGGTGTATCCCACAGACTCAAACGTGGATCTCTTTGAATACTTTCTTTGCCTCTTCATGGTCGATGCATATGAGGAGTAGATCATTGTAGGAGACGCGGAATAGGGTGTCATCTCGGCACACGTACTATGTGGCTAATCTTTGGATCCTATTTTATTCAATCAGATCCTCAGGGAGTTGGTTATGCTAAAAGTACATTTTGATAAGGATGCGCCAATCAGTTGTCTATTCTAGTTCCGCATACAGGCGCTCAAGCGGTTCTATTTCTTCTTCTTGACCCTCTCCTTCATTAAGCGTTGAGGAATCCGCGGAGGTGGATGTTCCCAGAGAGTCTGTTTATTCCTGTTCAAAGGGCTCTTCTTGTTCTTATTTTCTCAACTCTCTGACGAGTTCGACGAATCTCCATTCTACCACCCATATCGGCATGCTTTTTCTCAGCGACAACCGTATCGTTGTCCCTAATTTGGCGAGCTCATCAGCTTGTGCATTAAGCCTTCGGGGGACATGCTATACGGTGACTTCTGCGAATTGGACGAGCAACGATTTTTCCAATCCAAAGAGGACTTGAGATTTTTTTTCTCACGTCGTACACTCCTCTGAGCTGTTGGATTACTAACTCCGAGTCGCCGTAGACACCCAAATGCTCCAGGTTCATGTTGGAGGCTATTTTTAAAACCTAAGATGAGTGCTTGATATTCTTCTTCATTGTGAAACTCTACCTCTGGGAGAGAAAAGGATAGGGGGATGAGACTGTTGTGGGGGGTGGTGAATAGGATCCCTGCACCTCCCTTTTCAGCTTGGAACGCTCCATCGAAGTGTATTTTCCGGTGAGGCTTCGATGTGGAAGACCTCGTCGTCGGGAAGATCATCAATGAGTCGGGAACCCAGTGGCAAAGGATGGGTGACCAGGAAGTCTACCAACGCCTGTCCCTTTAGAACCTTCTGCGATATGTACGTGATGTTGAATTTCATAAGTAGCAATGACCATTTTGTGAGACGTCCCGTTAGGCACGGTCGTTACATAAGGTATTTTATCGTATCTGCTCTATAGATGAGTTGGATCTAATGTTAAAGGAGGTAGTGGTGCAGTTTTTGAACTACGAAGACAAGGGCTAAACACATCTTTTCTATTAACGAGTAATTTTCCTCTGCCCCTTGCATCCTCTTGTTTAAATAATACAAGGTCGTATCTTTTCCGTCATCGTTGTTTTGAGTAAATAAGGTGCCGAGCAATTGGTCCAATGCCATCACATAGAGAATAAGGGGCCTTCCTGGAATTGGTGCAGAGAGGACCGGGGGTTTGAGCAAATAACTCTTGATATTTTCGAAAGCCATTTGACACGCTTTGTCCCATACGAAAGGTGCATCTTTTTTTAGCAAGTGAGAGAAGGGTTGGCACCGTCTCGACAAATTGGAGATAAACCTCCTTATGTAGGCCAACTGGCCTTGAAGGGACCTAAGCTATCGTAGGTTTCGAGGTGGAAGCATTTCTTGAATGGCTCTAATTTTGAGAGGCTCGATTTCGAGGCCCTTGTATTTGACAATGAATCCTAGGAACTTCTTGGATCGTACACCGAAGGCATATTTTAGGGGGTTCATCTTGAGTTAATGAAGGAAGAGTCTCTTGAAGACTTCCCCAGGCTCTTAATATGGTTGCCCCTATTGTCGGATTTCACGACGAGGTCATCGACGTAGCATTCGACCTCTTTGTGAAGCATATCCTCAAAAGTAGTGGCGATGGATATTTGATACATAGCTCCAGCATTTTTTAGCCCAAACAGCATCACCATATAACAAAAGACTCCTTTCAGGATTAATAATGTTGTAGCCTCTTCATCCTTTGGGGCCATTCTTATTTGGTTATAGTCGGAATAGCCATCCATGAAGGAGAATGCTTGGCAGCTGGTGGTTGAGTTGATCAGTAGCTCGGTGAATGGAAGCGGGAAGTCATCCTTAGGACAGGCTGACTTTAAGTCTCATAAGTCAATGCAGACTCTAATCTACCCATTCTTCTTTCTGACAGGTTCGATGTTGGCTAACCACCTTGGGTATTTGACCTCTCGAATGAATCATGTTGTTTTGAGCTTATCCACTGCTACTTCAATTTGAATTTCTAATTCTGCTCTGAACCTCCTTGGTTCCTATCTGACCGGCTTTCACGAAGGGTCGATCCCTAGTTTGTGGACAACAACTCATGGGTCGAGGCCCGACATTTCTTCATAATGCCAAGTGAATACATCTCGGTTAGCCTTCAGAAATTCTATGTATTCCTGCTTTTCTGCGAGCGGCCTGACATCTAAGATAAACGTGGGTCTCAGGTCAACATCATCAACGAAATTTATTTCCTCCAAATCGTAGGTCGTGGGCTGTCCATCGTCTTTAAGACTTCTGAAGCTTCCTCTATATCTTCTACTTCAGGTGAGGATGTGTCTCCAAGTGGTTCGTGCGTTCCATTCGTTGACCTCGTGTGCCCTTGATCGGCTCGATCGGACTCCATCATTTCATGGTATTCTTGACCAAAGGATTCCCCAGAGGTGCATTCTTGAAGGGGTATGGGCATTTCTTATGGGGACGACACCTGAGAAACCTATTTGACAGGGGAAGGCCATGAAGGAAAGCTTGGGCGTCCTGGGTAACCGCTGCCCTCTTTTTGGTGTGGTAAAGAAGTTGTGGCTTGAATGACGGCAAAGGGTGCTATCATCCCTTTACCATCGTTCAATCCTGGTTTTGGGAGTATATTTTCCATCACTTGTATCCCCGGTGAGAATAAGGAGAGAGAAGTTCATGACCTAGGTCCGTGGGTACTAGAGCACCTGTGGACTACGGAAGCCGTAGGGTAATAAGTACTGATCTGAAGTGAAATTTTCATCAGTTTCATAATGGCCCAAGAACATGAATGAATGTGGCTATAGGTCCACTAAGAACACCTGCTAAGGTTCGTTGCAATCCGATGAGTTTTAAGGAAATACAGATGACAAAACAGTTTCGAGAAATCCTGCCTCTATCAAGCTGAAAATGGGCTTTGAACTATAGCACCATTATCAGAGCGTCAAATGGTCTCCAGACCATCGCCATTGGATTTAGACCAGTCTAAACCCCAGAGTACCAATTTTTAGTGCATTCCGATGCTTCTAAAGCAAGTAAATGCGTAGGTCGTACACTATTACGGTGCACCCTCGGTGAACCAGTTTCTATTAATGGAACTGTGGTTCTTAATTTCAGGGGCAAACTTCACATGGTCGTATCTTCCTCATCTCTAGTCGAATCGAGTCTAAAATTTGGGAACATGTTTGTCTCAATAACCCGGTCGAATTGATATATGGTACGCATGATAACACGGCCCGAGCCAAGAGAAGTTCATTGGAAAACTTTCAAAAGTAGTAGAAAATTTCCAACAATACCTCTCCTCGATCAAATGGCCATATCACGACTCTCGCGGGTCTGATCGACCTCAAACCAGACCCATTACAAACACGAAGTCAGAGGTTTCTTTCTAAGTAGAACCTCGCACGTGATGGACAGTCAGATTCGACGTACAATGAGTCCGAAGTAACTGTAATTCCGACCACTAGAATCCAAACTCCGGCCAAATTTTCCGAATTTGGAAAATGGTCCTCCGGGGATAAAATCGAGTTGTTCTTTTTGCAAAACAATTGTGGCAACTTGCTCGATATGCTACAATAAAGAAACCGGCAAAAAAAACTAAAAAAAGCGTTGGATCTTAAATCTAAAGAGCACACGTTTTCCCATGTTTTGTCGTGTCATGATCATAGCCCGAGACTAAGATCCATGGCTCAAAATAAGTACCGAAACGATCGTCTTCTAGAGCTCATCAAGAATATAGTATTCTTTTGGCCGGATGGTACCCAGAAAAGCCCCTAATCAGCCACAAAAAGTTCACACGGGTGAAGGATTATTGCAAGGACTGATTTGACATGCTACATATTGTTCAAGCAAGGGCAAAATCGTCATTTTTCTACCAAATTTTAGAATTTCTTTAATTTATTTAATTGCTAACTTCCATCAATTAGGTCAAAAATTGATTGTGCACCCATGTTTGAGTCCCACTTCTATATAAACAAGCACGCACATCATGTAATGGACCCTTGGCTTCAATACAAAAAAAAAAACATTATTTTGGCTTAAGTTTGAGTCACGACTTGGTGAGAGAAGGAGGAGACAGAAAATTTTGAGCGTTACCCTCGAGCATCACAGGTAATCTTCTCTCCTCCTCTCTTTCTCTCCCCTCTGTCTCTCTCTTCTTTCTCTCTCCTCTTTTTCTCTCTCCACTATCTCTCTGCACTTCTTCTCTTCTCTTTCTCTCTCCTCTTTCTCTCTCCGCTTTCTCTCGCCTCTTTCTATCCTTTGGTTGCTTGACTAGAGGGCAAGATGAGCCTTGTGCTGCTGTGCCAGTCTTGTTTCTGAGCAGTCTCGCCGTCGTGCCGGTCTAGTCACCGTGCCCGTGTAGCTGCCGCGTCAGACTGGGTGTTGCGCCAGTCTTGTCGTGTAGCAGTTTAGCCATCGTGCCGGTCCAAGTCACCGTGACCATCTAGTTGCCGCCTTAGATCGGTCGTCGCTTCAATCTTGCCATTGTGCCAACCTAGCCGTTGAGCCATACATTTCCTCTCTCTTCTCTTTCTCTCTCTTCTCTTCTCTCTCTTCTTTTCTCTCTTTCCTCTCTTTCTCCTTCTTTCTCTCTCTTATTTCTTCCCCCATCTCCCTTCCATGTTTGCTCAGCAGTACCCACTGCGGACCACGACATTTCTCTCTTTCCTCTCTTTCTTATATTTTCTCTGCGCACGTTAACTAATTTTCTGTCGTGCTCCCTCATGTTCACTCTCCCCGTCACTC